GGTCATCCAAACGGACGACAAGTCCGCTAACGAGAGACAATCCCAGCCGCATTATGTGGCTAAGCAGGCCTATCAACGTCCGACACATAACAATGACGTGATTTCTGAGGAAACCGACGACCACCACGCTGCAGYAGCATCCTCGGGTGATGGAGGAATTGTCGCAGCGCTCCCGCCGAAGCGTCCCAAGAGAGTTCGTAAGAACAAGGCGACACAAGAGACGGCAGCGACGGGAGCTGGGCAGCAGCCATGGACGGCATATAAGATCACCAAGGAGGTCTATGACCTTCGCCAAAAGTACGGATACTGCCTCTAGTGCAACGACGTCATTCATATGACCGCACAATGCCCCGAAAAGGGCAAGGCACGCGTACCCCGTCCAGCAAACTCGGAAAACTGAGTTACGCAAGGAGAGGGGCGACGCCTCTCCTCACTCCGCCGGACCCGGTTGCCTTGCTAGCAATCGATGTCACTACCGGGGAGCATGCGTTAGTCGCTGATTCTCGTGCCACGTACGAGCATTATGCCGCCCAGCTGGTACCACCATTAGACCAGCCAAGCCACGTGCACTTACCTAGTGTATGCGCAGCCTGTACACCGTCGGCAAGTGATCCGGTCAGTTCGCCACTGATTTCCGAGGACTCGACGGCGTGGTCAAGACTTGAGGAGCTTGACCCGCTCACGAGAGAGGACTTCGCTTGGATGCCTCTACTCCCGACCGGAACCTTGCCAAGGCCGCATTGCAACGCCTTGATGGCAACTCTACGCTCCTATTTGCACACTACAGTACCAGCTCCGTTGACGGACGACGGGGTAGCAGTTGCCGATCTCCGCGCCTATCTTGTGAAGATCGACCGCGAGCACGCCACCCAAAGATACGCCGAAACCGACGCACCTTTGCTCTATATCYGCATTCAAATCGGAAAGGCAACCTGTAGTGCCTTGATTGATTGCGGAGCATCTCGCAACTTCATGAGTCAAGCCTTTATGGCCCGCGCCGGTCTTGGCCCGCGCGTTCGAAGGAAGACGCAACCTACGCAAGTTACACTCGCGGACGGCCGCACGCAAAAGTCAATTGACCGATGCGTTGACGGCGTTCCRGTCTACTTTGCGCCACTTGCGTGCGAGCCGGTGTCTTTTGACATCCTCGACACCAAGTTCGACATGATCCTAGGCATGTCTTGGTTGCGTAGCGCCGATCATCCGGTGAACTTCCATGACCGAACCGTTCACATCCGTGATCGGAACGGAGTGTTAGTCCCATGTACGATCGCGACCCCTCACACTTCGATTGCTTGTCACGTGGTTTCCGTTGCGCGGATTCGTGACGCCATTGCTCGAAATGACGTCGAGGAGATGGGCCTTGTATTCTTGCATGCTCTCCCCTCGCCGGACGGACCAGCCGCGTCACCGCTGGACCCACGCATTTCTCACATCTTGGACGAGTAAATAGACGTCTTCGAGGCTCCCACCGGAACGGTTCCGGATCGGCCCATACGTCACGGGATCACTCTCGAGGCTGGCGCCGCCCCTCCGCGTGGATGTATCTACCGCATGAGCGAAGACGAACTCGAGGTGCTTCGTGCACAACTCGATGATCTTCTCGACAAGGGCTGGATTCGCCCTAGTTGCTCGCCATACGGTGCACCTGTTCTCTTCGTCCGGAAGAAGAATAAAGACCTACAGTTATCCATCGACTATCGAAAACTTAACGCACAAACCGTAAAGAACGCCGGCCCTCTCCCTCGGATTGATGATCTCCTTAAGCGGTTAGGCGGCGCGACGTACTTCTGGAAGTTGGACTTGAAGTCAGGTTACCACCAGATTGAAATCCAGCCTCAAGACCGGTACACGACCGCGTTCAAGACGCGGTACGGGCATTTTGAGTGGGTCGCCATGCCATTTGGACTCACCAATGCCCCCGCAACGTTTCAAGCAGCGATGACGACTGAGTTTCGCGACTTGCTCGATCGCAGCGTCCTCATCTACCTGGATGACATCTTGGTTTATAGTAGGACGTTGGACGAGCACATCGTACACCTTCGYGTTGTTTTGAATCGTTTGCGACTAGCCAAGTACAAAGCGAATCTCGACAAGTGCGAATTCGCCAGGCAAGAGCTTGAGTACTTGGGCAATTTTGTCACGCCGAAAGGCATTCGTCCCTTAGCGGACAAGATCCAAGCCATCATAGATTGGCCGGAACCCCGTTGCACGACGGATGTACGCTCTTTCATGGGTTTGGCTGGATATTATCAGCGATTCGTCGAGTCATACTCGAAAGTGGTCGCCCCTTTGTCGAGACTTCAGTCCCCGAAGGTGCCCTTCGAGTTCGACAACGCAGCCCGTGGCGCGTTCACTATGTTGAAGGCAGCGATGCAAGCCGCACCTGCCCTCCGTATATA